CAATCACAAGAAGGAAAACTCCCAGTAGTACCAAGCTCATGTACTCCTATCCTAGACTTATATTTGATGATGAAAGATTAAGTGAAAGGGGAAAAAATGCACTTAAGGGAACAGAAGAAAATAGTCTTGGGGGCAGAATATTGTAAGTTAAGTAATGCAAAACATCAGACACTTTTGTATAGAAAGAAGCTTGCTCATGTGGGACTATGAAACAAATTTGACTCCAGATTCAAGTAAGGCAAAATAATGTACCAATTAAGACCATAGGATTTGGAATCAGATCCGGGTTTCAGGAGCCAGGCCACTCACTAGTTTTGTAACCTTGGACGGTTAGTCATCCTCTCTGTTCATCATCTATTAAATGGAGCTATAAAACCTCTTAAGATTGTTGAGTAAGAATGAATTCAAATATATGTAATGTGCTTTAGCTAACAGCAACAACATTGGGGCATACCAGAACCAATGACATCATCCAGATTCACCCAAGAACAGTTTCTGTTCTTAAGCCTAGGCACATTTCAGAAGCTAGACACTGTGAATTTTATTTACATGAGTCTGAATTAATTAGCCAAATTGGACATGTTGCAGCATTTCTCTACCAGCAGATGCCAGATAGCATAACAGAATAGAATCTACTATGGTTTCCAACTATATGACTTATGATGTTGCTTGGTATCTCCAGATGAACATTACCAATCCAAATTAAGCCCTCTGCTAGCAATGGGGCAGTCACCTGAGAATGAATATTTCTACTTTATGTCTGCTAAATAACACTTTCTTTACTGGGCTCCCCCTCTCATCTTTTTCTCATGTTAGTTTATACTCAGAAGATTAATGCTTTTGAAAATTCATCTATCAGTTAACCACAAGTCTTGGATAAGACAAAAGATAACACTTTTTATCATTGTTGTTACTATTTCTCCCACCCTACCCCAACTCTGCACTAGATGGGTTGACCTTACTTAAAAGGAATTAGCTTAATATTCACAGAAGAAAAATATCCCCTCATGTCCTTTACATAAACAGAATTACTCCTGGTGTCTCCTTCAATGACCAGAGATTGTATTTTTGCTTCTCAATGTCCATTAATGATAAAATAAGACCACTTGACATACAATATTGCTGCAGTGGCTCTGTATATTACTGAAGTTACAGAGTTAAGTGTCTGTAGCAGCCAGACAGTTAAGGTAAAGGAAAACAATAGGCAGTAGTGGAGGCTGGAAAACTCCAGAGCACATGCTCATTGAAGTGAGACAACACTTCCCAGCCCTCATCAAACTTTGCCATGTGGGAATGTGGGCCTGGTGTTGCCAGACTTGTCAAGAGGAGCTGCAATTTTGATTTTATGTGAAATCTCCTGATTTTTACACATTGGTTCAAATACTTTTAAACATCTAGCAAGCCAAACACAAAACATATACAGCTAGATAGGACCAAGGGCCACCAGTTTATGACCTCTGTTTCTTTCATGAAAAGATGATTTATACTTTGGTTGAGAATCAAAGTGCTTTCAAAATGTTTTCCATTTGCTGTTTTTCAGGTGTATTTTCTAGGTTAGGCAACAAGTCACTTGTCACCTCCAACAAAAATTCAAGGTAGATTCTTATGTGCACCAAGCTTCCATTCTGTTTCCTTGATTGTAATTTGAAAGGTTTTTACTCTTTGCTGTACACTTAAAATCTTTTCCACATTTTCTCAACTTTGAATTATATTATGAAATGGGTTTGCTTTATTACCATATTTTGAAAAACATATTTAAGAACACAGTTTGCTGTCTTCCAGTACCATGGTGTTTGTGAGCATACAAAGGACTGTTAGAGTTAGAAGTTACCTTAGTGGTAGTATACAACAAATCCTTTATTATAGGGCTATAAAAGTTAGATATGGAATAATAAATGTCATGCTGTATTTCTGAGCACTTTTACATCCATTTTTACTTGACTCTTGCAACTCAGTACAGATACTAAACCTGTTTTTTATGAGAAAACCAAAGTTTTGATTAGTTAAGAAATTCATTCAAAGTCACAGTTAATTAGTATGGTGGAGCCAGAGTAAAACCCTGTACCCCAGTTAAAGTATAAACCTGAAATAGATCAGGCAAAAAAAAACAAAAACCTTCAGGTCATCTTAATAAATGTTACATTCGGAAGGAATGTAGCCTTTACTTATTTCAGAATTAGTTATTTGAAAACACTGAATGTATATTCCTTAATACTTGCTTATTACACATGCCATATTGCCCTAGAAGTACAAAATGTGTTCTAAGGACTACTAGTCCCATAAAAACACTTTTTAAAAAAAAAAAAAAAATTCCTGTGCTGGAAAGGGAGTCTTTTGTTGTTGTTCTGTGTTTTTAGGTGAAAGTTGATAGCGCAAATTAGTTTTTCATTCAAAAATTTTATGCACAAATTGTTTTGTGACATGAGTTGCAATCTCTGCAGCGTGTCAGCACTCTTGGTTCTCAGTGTCCATTCATCCAGTTTTCCTGTCCCTTCCTGTCTTCTCATCTATGCTTTTGGGCAGGTGTTGCCCATTTGGTCTCGTGTACTTGATTGAACTAAAAGGCACATTCCTCACATGTGTTCCTGTTTGTTTTATAGGCCTGTCTAATCGTTGGCTGAAAGGTGGGCTTTGGGAGTGGCTTCAGTTCCAAGTTAGTGCGGTGTATGGGGGCCATAGTCTTGGGGGTTCCTCCAGTCACTGTCAGACCAATAAGTCTGGTCTTTTTTTTTTTTGTGAATTTGAATTTTGTTTTACATTATTCTCCGGCTTTGCCCGGGACCGTCTATTGTGATCCCCGCCAGAGTAGTCAGTGGTGGTAGCCAGGTACCATCTAGTTCTGGGTTCAGGCTGGTGGAGGCCGTGGTCCGTTAGTCCTTTGGACTAATATTTCCCTTGTGTTTTTGGTTTCCCATAAAAACACTTTTAAAGGATCCCAGGATTAAATAAGTTTAGGAAGCAATACATATTCATTGTCCTATTGAAGCGTCATCACGTGTTAGCATATTAAAGTTTCTAAAAAGTCCTGCAGTTTAAAAAAAAAAAAAAAAAGTTTGAGTTTCTTCCATCCCTGGGCTTTTAAATTTATTAGACCACAGAATCTTCCCAGAAAGTCAATTAACATCCCAAAGAACATCATTTTGTAACTTATTACGTAGATTAGCAATCTTCAAAACAGGGTTTGCGTGTCCTGAAAGATGCCTAAAGACATTCAGAGTGGTATGCAGGCAAGCATGATTAAGAATAATCCGTCTCTAGATCCTAAACTTCCACATGTAATCTCTGCTAATGTTGAATTTTCTGAGAAAATGGGCATTGTAGATAAGGCATCATGCTGATTCTCATTTCCCATATCCCCTTTCATAATCACCTTTCTTAGACTTTACCAAGGAAAAGGCATCTCTCTCACCCATGTAGACTCTTAATATGATGAAATACACCTGGAGGTAAAAATCTCCTAGGTACCAAATCAAGAGACAAAAGAAAATGTTGGTAACTATGATGAGAAAGGCCAAAGACTTCACTGATTATTAGGTAAGTAGTGCTTTTGCAAATCAGGAGGCTGTTCAAGTTTCTGCTTTCAACAAAACTGAAAGAAGACTTAATTTAATAGTCTTTATCATTTAAAATTATTTTTTGATGCTAGATCACTACCTGATTTTTAAACATAACTTTAGAAGTTCAGAGATTGAAGAAAACTTCCCATACCCATCTCGGTGGTTTAAAAAACCAAAAAACAAAACATTGCCATTGAGTCGATTCCGACTCATAGCGATCCTATAGGACAGAGTGGAACTGCCCCATAGTGTTTCCAAGGTTGTAATTTTTACGGAAGCAGCCTGCTGTCTTTCTTCCGTGGAGCTTTGGTGGGTTTGAACCGCCAACCTTTCTGTTAGCAGCCAAACAACCACTGCGCCTCCAGGGCTCCTTATCTCAGTGCTTAACATCTGTAAAAATGAAAAATAGAACTGTAGCAGTAACTAATTTTCCCATGGCAGGTGTACGATATACATGAATTTCAGCCATATTATGTTTCTCCTTTGGCCCATCTGTCCCTGGTGTTCCATACATCTCACCTGACCAATAAGAAAGTACCCTCGGGAGTAGCCACAACTCCTTAGAGCACATTGCACCAGACAAAACACCCATGTTTGGCTATTAACCGGCCACCTGGGAGAAGGAAGTAAATGCCCCTTCCCACTCTGGGCTTCCAGAGCAGTTGATTATCAAGTCAATGTAGCCCTGCCAGTACTGGCCATCCAACCACCACCTTGCTTATTTTAGCCCTTCCCTTCCTGTTTCTCTCCTGCCAATGCCTAAGGGGGCCTAGAAACAACCAACCCAAGGAAAGCAGACAATCCACCTAGGCAAGGGAGATCACAGATCTTCCCCACACCAGTACCAACCCACTGCCTACCAGGCCTTTGGTTCACACCCTATCCAGTAACAGTGGCAGCCTAGTCAAAACAGAGAACTGAGGCTTGGTAGAGCACCAAGTTTCATTGTTCTCCTCAGGGCAGATTTTGGATGTGAAAGAGGTATAGATAAAAGAGAAATCAAAGGATAATGACTGAATTGTAAGTAGCTGAAGTTCCTTACTCTAAAATAGTTAAGATTTAATTATTTGTTCACCCACTATTTTAGCATTTTGGTAATACATATTAAAATTTTTGGCTAGTACGTATTTCCTTCACATTTATCAACATCTGTAATGTCTATCCTCCCTTTCAGTGGCATATCATGTTACATTTGCACGAAATAAAGTCCTTATGAATATTTTCATTGTGATGACTTTAATGGAGAGGCTTGTTAGCTGCCATCAAGTCAACTCCCCAGACGCAACAGAATTGGACCATTGTGATCCATAGGGTTTTCACTGGCTGACTTTTTAGAAGTAGATCACCAGGTCTTTCTTCCTAGTGTCTTAGTCTGGAAGCTCCATTGAAGCCTGTTAAGCATCATAGCAACACGCAAGCCTCCACTGACAGATGGGTGGTGGCTGTGCTTAAGGTACATTGGCCAGGAATCAAACTTGGTCTCCCAGATGGAAGGCAAGAATTCTTCTGAACCACCACTGCCCCAAATGGAGAGGCTAGGTGTTGTTTAATATAGCTAAATGCGAGGCTAATCAGTCTGCAGTGTTATTAGCCTTCAAGGTAACTTGGGGGTGGGACGGAGAGAAAGACAATGATCACTAGGTACCACTGGCAAGCCTAAGTAACATGAAGGAAAGAATGTGGTGGAAGGAGGAGCTGTGCATTCTAAGGAAATCACATATTGCATTTACCTCAGATTCCATTTATAAGGAGTTGCTTTATTCCTGGACCATTCCCTACTTCATCTTCCCTCCCTGATAGAGCAGTGTAGGGTCAAAGTTTGATGACCAAGTTCTGGAAAGTGGATAGAGGTTCCTCAGAACTTTTTTTGGGTATACTTCCCAGAATAGGAAGTTGAACAAAAGAGGGGAAGCAGCATGGTGGATGGAGTGTGGGAAGCTTTTATTAGGAATGTCAAAGTAGTGGAGTGAGAATAAGTTAAGACCAGATGCAGCCGCACTTGATTATAACTAATTTGCAGTGGGTGGTAAAGACAGGCACCAAGCCAGCGTCACCACTTTATAAATATTTCTTCTGTGGTAGTGTGTTAGGAAAGAGGCATGGTGAGCTTGCATCAGTATGGTGAAATATCACAAAATGGGTGGGACTGTTTGGAGGAGCGTGTGTTTGGAAAGGGGTCATGTTACAAATTACAGTCCAGCACGCCTTAAAACATATAGCATAGCTGTAATCTGGATGTAACATTTGGAGCACACGTCACTGGCCAAAGATGGTGTATATGGGATATTCATAGAATTCTTGTTTGAGAGTATATGCTGGCACTTTGGTATATAGTATTTCTGTGATTACAGGAAAATAGTAAGCTGAAAACATACCTCCTTTCAGTGCAAGAGCCAACTCTACCCATTTGTGTTACCTCCTTACAGATTGCAGCTGTGTAGCCGTAACTGATCTTTTGGATGCTTTTTGTTATTACAACAAGGGGATTAAAAGTAGACACCAGCTGTTAGCTGTTGAGAAAAGTGGAAATATTAAGAAATGTTTGCCTACTAGCTCCTCCTTTCTCTAACTGGCTGCCTTATCCCACCTCCCAAATGGTGGTCACGTTCTTTTTACAACACCTAGCCTCCTGATTAACACCACCACTGATTAATAAAAGTTGACAAGGAGCTCTAGATGCTTGCATAAACTGTGTCAATCTTGTTTCGACGAAAAGAACCACAGGAAATTAGTGGGAAAATTATGCAAAGATAGGGTAGTTCATTTTCTATAGGAATTGTGATTTTACTTCTTAACTTACAATTAAAATGGCATAGACAATATACTTTGGGAGTTTATTTTTGGATAATATTAACAACTGATTTCTCATTAAAGGAAAAAACTTACCACTGTATGCAACAATTAAGATATGGCGGAAGTGAAGTCAATGTTCCGGGAAGTTCTTCCAAAACAAGGTATTTATATCACAAATACTTAGGTCATGGAATATTATAGGAACTGACAAAGTGATAGGCAGTGTCACATAATAAACTTAACAGCTAAACATCTGTAACTATTTTGTATTCTATATGCCTCACTTACTGTCTACTTTTTACTGTACTTCTTTCATGAGTATGTTGTAAAGGGAGACTCCATCACTTCTTTTTCCAATAAAAGGATGACAGAGCATTTTTTTAAGCCTAAAAATCCTGTTATACTTAAAACTGGAGATTACAGTATCATATTACCAATGAAGAAGAAAGTACTTGATGGTATTCACCATATTAAGGTCTGAAAGCAAGGGAAAAGAAACCTAAATTAAGCAACAGTAAGAAAAGCTGAAGGTTCAAATTAGACATTCAGTTAATTTGAATATTCATGTTAAATATCATGCTTTGTTATATTTTTGTCTACTATGTATTTCTCCCAGATCTTATTTCAGATTAGACATTTGATACAGTAAGTTGTCTCATGTTAGCTTAGAATCTTGGGTCAAGGAAAAAAACACCAAACCCATTGCCACTGAGTTCAGACTCATGGCAATCCCATGTGTTACAGAGTAGAATTACTCCATAGGATTTTCTTGGCTATAATCTTAACGACACATTGCCAGGCCTTTCTTCCATAGTACCGTTGGGTGGGCTTGAACCACCAACCTTTAAGTTAGTCGAGAGCAAACTGCACCACCTAGGGACTTACCTTTGGTAGAAAGTTCAAAACGTGTTTTCTTCAACACTCTGCCAGGATCAAAAAATCGTCATTGCTTAAGGGCTCACTATGATGACCCTCAACGAGATGGACTGACATAGTGGCTGTAACAATGGGCTAAAACATAGCAAGGATTATGAGGACGGCACAAGACCAGGCAGTGTTTCATTGTGTTGTACATAGGGTCACTGTGAGTTGGAACCGATTCAACAGCACCTAACAACATGTTGTTTCTGGCCCCACAACTAACCTCAGTCTAGGAACAAGAGATTTTCATTAACAATGGATTACGTTTTTAGATGTTCATTCTAGCTGCAAATCCAAACCACTGGGTTCTTACTTGATGAAGTAATTCTTATTTTTTGTTAAACTTAGGGCAGCTGTCTGTAGAAGATGTAACCACAATGGTGCTATGTAAGCCAAAACTTCTACCCTTAAAATCTCTGACTCTGGAAAAACTGGAGAAAATGCAGCAAGCAGCACAGGATACAATTCGCAAACAAGAAATGGCAGAAAAGGAAAAACAGCAAATAACCCACTAAGTGATGATTTAGCACTTCTACAAACACCCTACCTACTATTTAATAACAACCAGAAAATAACCTACATCTGTATGTTGAAAGTAATACTTGTTAATAAAACTAATAGTACTCATATAAATACTACAAAATACCCCAAGATTGAAGACACCTACACTGTGAATTTAAACACTCTGGTTTCCACTGAACACAAGCAGTCAAAATACTTTTAGCCAACTTTTGTGGCCTTTTACCTGTCAAGTTTTGGGAATGGCAAATTATTGTTTAACATTCCTGTTGCTATCAGTATTATAGTTAACATTCTCAGGCACAGGTGGCTAAATGCATCTTCTGTGTGCAGAGGATCTTTACATGTTCATTAAAAACCTGCATTTGAATATACACTCTAATCTTACATTAAGGTGAAGTTTCATGCTGGGCTTTTACAATACCTAATGTATGTGTGTGTACTTATATATTATTGTTTTTCACCAATTTTATGTCACGTTTAAGGCCGTTTTTCCTGACCAGCTGATCCAAGCAGTAATGACAAAACTGTTTCTTAAAATAAATTTGATGTTTTAAAAAATGCTTACCTATTCTATAAGGTCACCTAAATTTCAATTACACTAATTTTCAAAACTTAAGAATTACATGGCTACCTTTATCATCAAGGTTTCAAACAAAAACCTGAAAATGTTTATTATAATTATCTACATAAGCCAAAGTAATAGGGACTTCAGAGAGCCTGAGAGTTAAATTTGAAGGTTAAATTTGGAGTTTTAGTTCTAAAAGACTGCACCTAAACCTATAATAGATATATTTCTAAAAATGCCTTTATAAAAATTCAGACTGTAGTTCTAAGTAGGTTTGCTGCAGTCAATAGGCAATTTAAATAGATGTAGACTTGAGACCTTGCTGAGTCATTCAGGTCTGCAAAAGAAGAAATGTTACTCTTTAGATAACTTATTGGCAGCTACTATTTTCTTAGACGCTGGTAAATGTAAAAATTTGAGTCTTTGAAGAATAAATTTTTATAGCACTAACGTTATTCCATTATACAAATTTTAGGAACTTCACTAAGCTCTAGATAAGATCAGTAAACACAAGGGAGTAAGTGTGCATGCATTTTTCCGCAGTGTAATTTTAAAAGGACCTATTTAGTGTTGTGGAGCCCTGGTGGTACAGTGGTTAAGAGCAATGGCTGCAAATCAAAAGGATGGCAGTTCAAATCCACCAGCTGCTCCTTGGAAACTCTATGGGGCAGTTCTACTCTATAGGGTTGCTATGAATTGGAATCGACTCAACAGCAACTGGCTTGATTTAGGTTATTTACTATTTTTTTTTTTTTTTAATCATACTTTAGATGAAGATTTACAGAACTAGTTTCTCAAAACTGTTAATATACGTATTGTTTTATGACACTGGTTAACAACCCCACGACATGTCAACACTCTCCCTTCTCAACCTTGGGTTCCCCATTACCAGCTTTCCTGTCCCCTCCTGCCTTCTCGTCCTTGTCCCTGGGCTGTTGTGCCCCTTTAGTCTCGTTTTGATTTATGGGCCTGTCTAATCTTTGGCTAAAGGGTGAACCTTGGGAGTGACTCATTATTGAGCTAAAAGGGTGTCCAGGGGCCATGCTGTCACGGTTTCTCCAGTCTCTGTCAGGCCAGTAAGTCTGGTCTTTTTTTGTAAGTTAGAATTTTGTTCTACATTTTTCTCCAGCTCTTTCCGGGACCCTCTATTGTGATCCCTGTCAGAGCAGTCAGTGGTGGTAGCCGGGCACCATCTAGTTGCACTGGACTCAGTCTGGTGGAGGCCGTGGTAGATGTGGTCCATTAGTCCCTGGGACTAATCTTCCCCTTGTTATCTTTAGTTTTCTTCATTCTCCCTTGCTCCTGAAGGGGTAAGACCAGTGGAGTATCTTAGATGGCTGCTCACCGGCTTTTAAGAACCCAGACGCTACTCACCAAGGTGGAATATAGAACATATTCTTTATAAACTACGTTACGCCAATTGAACTAGATGTTCCCCGAGACCATGGTCCCCATAGCCCTCAGCCCAGCAATTCGGTCCCTCAGGGAGTTTTGATGTGTCTATGGAGTTTCCATGACCTTGCCTTGTACAAGTTGTGCTGACCTCCCCAGTACCGTGTACTGTCTTATCCTTTACCAAAGTTACCACTTATCTATTGTCTATTTAGTGTTTTCCCCCAGGAGGGGGCAGGGGTAGGGGGAACCATCAATTACTATTGTACTTTTGATTTAAATGCTGGCAAGGAAACAAAACTAAAATTCCAGTGTGCTTCCTTCTATGATTTAAAATTTGCTATGTGAAGTAAAAGTTAAAAAGTATTTTTTTTAAAGAACCAAAATAAATGTACTCCAAATAAGGAATCAACACTGCTTCACATGTTTTATTTTGTCATACATTCTTCTAGAACTGGGTTCATTTTTCCAGTTTTGTACAAAAATAGATGTTCCAGCCACCATTTACTGAACTGTCTAGTCTTTAAGACCAATCAATATGTTCCCTGGAAAGATGAATAAGTCTCATGACTAACTCATTTTCTTAGAATTCTTTAAGACAAAGAAATAACTTTTTTTTTTCTTACTCCCAAAGCACAGTATTTCAACAGCAGCAGCCAACATGGGGTTTTAGCAGCTTAACTTTACCCCCTAAATAAAGCTATGTATAAACCAGTGATTTTACTACAAAAACACTGTCCTTGAAAGAAAGGAGTGGCAGTCAGACATCAATGCAAAACTTGGAATGATTAGGTCATAAACATGGCACTTACAAAAGGTAGCTTATTAGAATATTCCACTTAAGAAGTGGTTACTTTTCTGTCCCTCCTCCTTAAACCCTCAAAAAAAAAAAAAAAAAAAAAAAAAAAACTTCCTTTAAAAATTCCCCTTAAATGTAAGTTTATAAAATTTCAGAAAAGCCTTGTACCCAAAACAAGTGCTTTTAAAAAACAAAAAACTGTACTAACAACTCTTACAATTCAGATACATATTTTTTATAACATCTAAGACTGCAAGAGTTCTTATATTCAGTAGCTCTCTGGTTTTAGACGGCCTCCATCTCCTTCACTTACAAAACGCTTTCTGCCCCTGTAATGAAAAGAACACGAACATGAAAACAGATTCAAATTCTCACTACAGTAATGAAGGGGGGGAAAAAACTTGGTATTTTTTGATCACACGTGAAGTTTTGGAGGATCTTACTTGTTTGAAAAAAGTCAGCATGCCTCTAATTTGAAGACTTTTTCCCTGCTGTACATTTTAGCATATAACATATCAAACAGCTAATATGAATTTTTAGCTAAATCTAATTACTGAAGTAGGTTCATTATCCAAATGGAGTCATGTAAGGCAAACAGTTTATTTAGAAATTTAATATTTATTTCTACCACATTATTAATATCATTTGAAAGCTAAACAAGTGAGCCGAACAGGAAACATTCATATGATTTGGAATAATACAAACTGGAACTATGGAGAAGCCCTAGTGGCACAGTAGTTAACAGCTAGGCTGCTAACCAAAAGGTCAGCAGTTTGAATCCACCAGCTGTTCCTTGGAAACCCTATGGGGCAATTCTACTCTGTCCTATAGGGTCACTGTGAGTTGGAATTGACTAAACGGCAACGGTTTTGGGGTGTTTTTTTTTTTGGTTTTGGAACTATGGAACCTATCAAAAGTTTTTTTTCCTCAGATGTAGAAAAGGCATAACTTAGAATCCAGTTAATTCCAGCCTATCCCCCATTTTGGGATTCCTGCTATTTCAGAACTCACGACGCCTTGTTCTGTAATGTGACCACACTCAAGCTATATGCAATAACACCAACCCAGGAGAAAGAGCTGACCAGTAGCACAAAGCACTAAGTGGAACACAGAGCTTGGGCAGGATTAACCTCTTCTACATGGCCCAGATCAACATGCACAGGCATGCGAGCCCACACACAAATGTACACTTCATCAAATAAGCAAAAGGGTAGAGACTAAAAAGTCAAAGTTAGGTATCTCCTCAAATGACCCTCAATAAAGCTACAATAGAAACAACCAGTTAGACTTGCAAACAGGATGAAAAACTGAAAAGGCCAGTGCCATGGTGCTGACTCATTTTTATATTTTGTAAGGCTAAGTGAAAACCAGCTATGTCTTCTTGAACATAAAGGCTTCAAAGTATACTATTAGGCAACCGAGGTAATGAACAAGGCAGTAAGCAGCAAGAAGCCTTGTTGCAAAGTTGCCAGTTTTTACTAATGTATATCATTTGGCACATCAGTACGCAAACGATGCCAACCAAAAGTAGAGATCTATGTTTTGAAACACTTCTATCAAAGCCATTAAACTGTACCTTTCACAATTTTTTTTCCCTTCTCTTAATGGCTTCTAAAGTTTCTAGAGCAAAGAACCCTTCCAGGAAGTGTTTTTCTGAGATATAATTCTTATAATGGTCTTAAATAAAAATACTCAAAGCTCAGAAATTTTTTCAGATAAAAAATTATAAAAACTTAAAATGTACATAAAACTGACCTACACAAGAAGTTTAACATTATTAAACTGTTACGGCTTTTACATTATAACCTTCACTATCAGCTTTATTTTAACAACAACAAGAAAAAAAATCCTTAATTCCTGAACAGTTAGATCCTAGTAGCACAAATGTAACACCTCCAAAGAATACACACACACACTTTCGAGGTAAGATTCAGTTAGCCCCAATTCTCTACCCTGTGCAGAGGCAAAGGATGCTGCATAATGTACAAGAAACAGCGCAGATCTTTGAAGGCAGTAAAAGTCTGGATTCATGCATGGCATCTACCACTTATTAGCTGTGTGACAGCAGAAAAGGCACATTACACTTCTCTAAACCTCCATTTTCTCATCTTAATGGTGATAATACCTACTCTGAAATTAATATTTAAACTACTTAGAACGGTAACAATAATATTTAAACCACTTAGTACAGAACCTGGTACACTGAACTGCTCCATAAAATTAGTTTCCTTCAAGTGAACTGGGCTTTATGAACTAGTCTATATAGATTTACAAGGGGGCAAAACGAGCTTCGTCCTTCATTCTCTCCAAACGCTCAGATGATTCAGGCTCTTCGGTGACCTCACAGAAGATACTATTACTTTCTGACAGAACCGAAATGATGGAAACTGTCTTTAGTTTACCCTCACCAAGCACCTCATCCAGTATTTTATGCTGAGAAAGAGTAAATAAAGTACCTTGAAGGACATAGATCTCTGAGTTGTTTGGAAATTATTCCAGCCTGAAAACATTCTTCTACAAATCGCTCAAGCACAGAGTATGAATGTGGGACATCCAAGTTAATATCTGGAATTTCACTGTAAATTCTCTCATAACCCTAAAACAATGAAATTAGATGCAGAATTGTTAGCCATATGAAATACATAATGCCATACACCACAATCCATCACTATGTCATTAATCTACATTTAAGGCCAAATGTTCAGACACTTAGACTGAAGTCAGATTTGGACCATGAAAAGTAGAGAAAGTAACATTTGTTAACAGAACATTTTCTTTCAAAAGAGCTGCAGACAGACATCAGACATTGGGTATTCAATATTAGACAGCATCATATCCAACATTTCAACAACAATGCATACAATTTTAAATAGGAAAAATTAAGTACTTTAAAGTGTAATTTGTTAAAGGTTCATGTTATATAAAATTAAATCTTGAAAACAGAACCCTTAAGGAAGAATACACAATCACAAATATTCAAAAAAAAGAACCCTTGAAGAATATATAATCACGCATTCAAAAATTAGATTAAAAAAAACACTGTAGTGTTACTTTCCACTTGAAAGTAGAAAGTGTTACTTTCCTTAAAAAAGGTTCAAACAGTTCCATTTAAAAAAAAAAAAAAAAACCCAACAATAAAAAACCCTTATAGGCATAATAATACTAAAAATACCTATAAGAAAGTCTCACTGACTATTCACAAACTTTATATTCAATTATTATACATTTTTAAGGTATAAGCTTAAACACTGTGATGTCATACTTACTCTTTTCATTTGGTCTACAGTAATAGTAGAGGATTTCCAAAGGGATTTTAATAAATCCAAAATCATTTTAAATGTACTTTCTCCAGTTGACTCTAAAACCATTACAATAGCCTAAAAATTGAAGGAATGAATGATTAATTTGGGGGTCATGAATTCATGTAAGAAACTGCTCCTAAAATACATCAGATCCTTCTTCTCTAATATGTAACCATGTTCATTACAAAAATTTAAAAACAACTTTCTCCCTTAACAACTTTATTTTTTAAAAAAGAAAAAAAACGTATGCTATTAAAAAAGCATTAAGTCACTGTGGTGCAAAAAAAGAAAACATATTAACTATCTCTGGAATGTCAAGGTAATCTTACTTCATATACAAGCTCATGGTGAAAATGAGGTACTTCCAGTTCCTTAAGGCAATGTTCAGCTTCGGATATGTCTCCAGAGAGTATATATTCTTTCAGCAGCATATCAATCTATTAAATTTAAAAATTGAGATGTGTTATAGTTCCTCATTTTTGAAAAATTGTGCTTTGCCTAGGGATTTACTTACGCTCATCCCAATGAAGTAGCAGATCACAAAAAGCTAGAACAGATGTCTAGGAGCATATAGACTTGATATGGCACCTTCATAACCATTTTTTTCATAATAAAAAGTAATTATCCAATTTTCAAATGGTTCATAACTATGAAGAAAATGCAGTGGCTTCAGTGCATCTTAATAATCACTGATTATCTATAAGTAGGCTTATGGTGTGCGCAGCCTGGGTTGTGATTATACTTCAGTGCTTGCTATAAAACAAAGGCGTTAAAAGTCCACTAGAGGGCACTAACCGAAAGTCTTAAAGTAAAAAGTGGCATAAAATGTTTCAATTCTATCAGAATGACCTGAATAATGCACTGGAAGCCAAAATATGAGAGAGATGATAACAGGGTCTTACTAGACAGGACAAAGATTTTCATGCAGTTTCTTTTCTAGAACGGAGGATTTGGAACCCATTATCTAAAAAAATAAGTAATTTAGCAAACTTCAAATCATAGCTGAAGAGCCAAGTCTTGATACTCCTGCTCAAACTTGTACAATAACATCTATGGCTCCAGAGAAAAACGTGGGAAATGTTTTTTAACACAAGAACTTCAGCTAAGAATGTTCTTATACAACGCCTGTTTAAAATCACCTTTGCACCTAGTACCAAAACCAAACCTACTGGTACTGAGTCAATTCCGATTCATAGTGACCCTATAGGACAGAGAAGAGCTGCCCCGTAGAGTTTCCAAGGAGCAGCTGGTGGCTTCAAACTGACGACCTTTTGGTTAGCTGAGCACTTTAACCACTGCGCCACCGGAATCCCTGCACCTAGTAGGCACCCAGTACATGTAGTCTGATAGAATAAAATAATTCTGTTTTCAACTTCAAGAATGTATTTTCATAAACGGTAAAGTAAAAATTCAATTGCTAGAATACATCCTGATAAATATTTCCTATTATCCTGTTTTAAAAAAATAAGTATTTAAAGCTAGCATTTCAATAAAGTTTCACATATTATAAATTAATCTTTGTTATTAAAATTATATTACTTACTTTTAACATCTGTTACATTGCTTAAAAAAGTATTTAAAATGTTTCTTACTGGACTTCTTACATTTTTAGAATGATAAAATTACAAATACATGTATACATTTCCAGAATTTCTCTTTGTCCAACTCATCCTTCTATGTAAATATGAACGAATATTCAAATAATGTCAACCTCAAACTTGTATACTCGCAGTTTTATTTCAATTTTTACCTTGATTTTTTTTTAAAAATTGTGATTCAGGTGAAAGTTTACATAGCAAAAGTTTCTCATTAAACAGTTAATACAGAAATTGCTTTGTGACATTGGTTGCCAACCCCGCGATGTGTCAACACTCTCCCTTTCTCTTCCCCAGGTTCCCTGTTTCCATTCGTCCAGTTTTCCTGTCCTTTCCTGCCTTCTTGTCTTTGCTTTTGGGGTGGTATGCTCCTTAGTCTCATATACGTGACTGAACTGTGAAGCACATCCCTCATGTGTGTTATTGTTGGCCCTATATACCTGTCTAATCTTTGAATGAAGGGTGATCCTTAGGAGTGACTTCAGTGCTGAGTTAAAAGGGTGCCCAGGGGTCATGCTCTCAGGGTTTCTCCAGTCTCTGTCAGACTAGAAAGCCTGGTCTTTTTTTGCGTGTGAATTTGTATTTTGTTCTACATTTTTCTGTAGCTCTGTCCAGGACCTTCTGTTGTGATCCCTGCCAGAGCATACAGTGGTGGTAACCGGGCACCATCTAGTTGTTCTGGGTATCCTGACCATTTTTTAACTGAGATATAATTCATGTACCACAAAATAGTTTAGCAGTTCCTCAAATATCGTCCTCCAATCCGTAAATATGGGATATTTTCCCATTTATTTAGGCCTTCTTTAATTTCTTTCAATGATTTTTACAATTTTCGTGTACAAATGTACTACTTTTGTTAAATTTATTTCTGAAATTTTAATCTTTTTCATGATATTATGAATGGCATTGTTTTCTTAATTTCATTTTTAGATCATTCACTGTTAGTGTATAGAAACAGATTTTATTTTTGCATATTGATCTTATATCCTGTGCCCTTGCTGAATTCATTTATTAGTTCTAATAGTTGTTGTTTTTCTTTTTATTTTGTAGATTCTTTAGGATTTTCTATATACAAGATCTGGGAATAGAGATAATTTTACATCTTCCTTTCCAATCTGTGTGCCTTTTATTTCTTTTTCTTTCCTAGCTGCCCTGGCATCTTGACTATTTTTATACCTCAATATTTGTCCTAATTCTTTAATTCTTAAAAAAACATAGTGTAATCATGACATCACAAACACACAACTCCTTTATCGTAACACATAAAAGCAAAAATGGTCAAAGCTTTAACTACATTTTAAGCTCCTTAACAATTAGTTATACATAGCATTAAAAGACTTACTAAAATTCAAAACTATGGTCACATGAAAAGATTATACTCAAAAATCAGAAGCACAAGAACTACAAATCTTCTAATTACTTGCCTTAAATATTTTCACATAAAGAAAGTAGTAACTTTTGGTTTCCTAGTACAGAACACCACATTACAGACAGAAAAATCCACAAGGAATAAACCTTGCATATTAATGCAACAAATCAATTACTTTTTCTTTTACAGTATGCATACAGGTAGTGACGCTTCCTCACAAAAATCCACCATTCTTACCCACTCTAGTGCTCATAATTCATTTTATAACTTATGATCTAAGGATATCAAGTTTCCAATTGCTCATGTGAAGATACTTAACTGAATAACTACAAGATACAAAGTCTTATTTCAACAGTGATCAGAATACCAATATAAATATTTTAAATACCAATACAAAAAAGACTTCAGGTCTTTGCATTCATACATAGTCCTCTTATAATAAAGCATAAAAGTTTATTTTTAAGTCAAGGAAACAGTAAAAAATTATATATTATATAACTTATACCAAAAGAATATAAAGCCAAATATAAAAGGATTATTCAAATTTGCAGCTGTAAGACTGAACTTAATTTTCGTCCACAAAAATACCAGCTAGTAGGCATAGTTTATTTCTCCCAGAGAAACACATATGAATTAAAGACAATATCCAATAGTTACCTCTTTAACAAGGTGATTGACAGACTGCTGTCCACCTCCAGAGCCCCACACACTGTCTTTACGCTTTCCACCTCTAGACATACTCAGGAGCACAGTAGCCTTGTCCAGAGCAGCTCTACAAAAGAAAAAAAATTAAATCCAACTTTGACACACTGACATGCTTTACCAAATTATGGATAAATTGATGAAACCTCAAATATGCCAAAAGCGTTCATGTAACATAAAAGCAACATAAAATTCAAAACTCTAGTAAAAACTATTTTTCAAAATAAAAGGTTGGGAGCAAAAATAAGTTGATTCTCATGTTAATTTTCTCACACTATGTTATTTCCGTTTCTCACTCAACAGAAAACATACTACAAAATAACTGATCTACATTGAAAAGAGACATTTCACATATAACTTTTACCTAGAAATTGCCTTCCCACCCAAGGAGACCATTCCAGTATGGCCTGAAGTAGCCCTAGGAAAATTAAGTTAGGTTCAGCATGTACATGTGAGAGAACTTAACACATGGCTAAGTTCAAATCTAAGTTCCCAGGAAGTTCCGAAAAATCATCTAGTGTTTAACTCCCCAAAACCACATCCAGCCTACAATTACTAGACCAAAGAACAAGAGTGAAAAAGACACTATTTCCCGATTAAGAAAAATGTCTACAGCAGATACACACAAAATAAAATTGTAAATGGGGCTCCTTTGTTTAAAATGTCCATCTTAATTATCTTATTGGACTATGAATAATTACAGAATGTCAGAACCTAAGGGGATCTTAACCCTTTCAAGAACGAATTATGTTTGTAATTTTTTGGTGATGTAATGTTTTTTCACTAAATGAATGCATGCTGAATCACTGAGTATTGGTAGTCTTTTGTTATGTAAGATGGTTTTTTATAAATATTACATGGTACACCTATCTACCAGTGGACTCTGGAGGTACAACAGGTAGACTGAGGCATTGTCAGATATAGAAGAAATTTCTAGAGCCTGTTCAGCTGTGTATTTTTCCATTTTTGAAAAAGAGGAGTGATTCAGGAAAAGTAATTCCAGGGTCAGCAAAACTAGGATAATACAAATACCATACCTCCAAACCAATATGAGAATACACAAGGGGAGACATTGCATAATTCCAGCCTCTTGTAAAAAATAAATCCCCAAAAGGAAATACTGTCGTGGGAACATTACCACTACAATAAATTACTTCTTACTGCAAAACAAGTACTTAAAGCTCAAAAACAAGAAGATAGGTCCTTGACAGCTATACGAAATGTACCTGCAGTACATCAAGGACACTACAACGTGTGCTTACGCTGTATTTCACCTAAGAATAAGTTTTCACGTGAATATTACCTAATCCCATAAACCACACCTACGCAGTAACACAAAGGAAACCATAAATATCCTTACATTTTAAGTTCAATTATTTTATAAATAAGGAAACTTAAGCCCAGATAAGAGTAGCTTTGACATGAAGGTAACTAATGGTTTAGCTAAAAGCCAGGACTTCTGACTTCTGTATTATAGTACCATTCTCTTCCCCTTGTATCATGCCAACAATCTCTCAATTTTAACAGTGGAGAATATAGACAACTGACAAATTGATGCCCACAATGTCTGATGAATGCAAGAGTTATTTCAATAGACTAACAGAGAATTTCCCCTACTTTGAAATTCTAAGTAGGAAAATTAATTTACTTACCTAGCCTGTACACAATCTACAGTTCCTTTGTAACTATCAATATAGGTATTACATAAAATTCCGTCTCCAACAGCTCTAGCAATAAACTGGCCCACCAACTATTAAAACAAACAAAAAAAAAAACTAAAATAAATGTTTATAGGACACAATTTCTCCATACATAAATGATGAAGACTAGTTGAACTACACAGTCAATACCTAAAAGACACGCTGGAATATTCAACAAACCTCTATTTAGCACCTACTAGTTATGCTTGGAACACTTCCACTTCCTTACATTCAAGGTAAGAAATTACATAAGCGCCAGAGTGATGCCATGTCTGTTTTGCTCACTACTGAATCCTCAATACCTTGAGCACTGCCTCACATATAATAGCTGATCAAAAATATGAAGAAAAAAGTTGTGTAGAAACATTCATAAAGATGTTCATAGCATTATTTATTATATAAAAATTGGAAACAACTTCAGTGCTAACAATAAAAATATGGTTAAGTGTCCAACAACAACAAAATACGTAAGATGGTACGCTGTGTGGCCATAGGGAAAAATGTTCACCATATCTTATCAAGTGAGAAAAATCAATTTTACAAAACAGCACATATGGTATAATTCCATTTTTTATTAAAGCAAAAAAAAAAAATGTAAATAAATGTATGTAAGCCATACACTGGCATATATCCACAGAAAGACGAATGGAAGGCTTGATACCAAAATGTAGGCAGTGGTTATTTTTTCTGACTCTTCTCCCCTTTTGCTTTTCTGTATTTTTCAAAAATTTTATAACATATATTAATTTACATAATCAATTTGTTAAAGTATGTGTACAGGGAGGAAAAAAGGCCATGTCTGAATCACAGCTGAATACCTTACACAGACTTTTGTCTGTCACAGGAAAGTAACATTTAGAAACTAGCCTATTTATACTCTTATTTCCAAATGAATGTGTAAGTATAAAGTGCTCCTACCTTGATTAAAAAACTTTTATCAACAATTTCATATGTTTTCAATTTCAAGCCAGAAAGTCACCTTATAGTGTCAGTATGTATTAACTTCTGATAAAAATATATAAGGTCTTGAGGAGAAACTCTACAGAACCCATAAATTTTCTAATTTCTTTCCCCACAAAGCTTCAAAAGGAAACAGTCTTATTTAAATTGTTATAACAAACAGAGTCCTGGCGGCGCATTGGTTAAGAGCTCAGGTGCTAACCAAAAGGTTAGCAATCTGAATCCACCAGCTGCTCCATGGAAACCCTATGGGGCAGTTAATACTCCGTCTTACAGGGTTGCTATGAGTCGGAATCCACTCAGTGGCAACGTGTTTGGTTTTTTGTTTGGTTTTCATAATAAACATTAGCCAAGCAAATTCAACCCTTAACAATCTACATTTTTAAAAAATCCTGGCTCATAAAACAGCTTGACTATATATAAACAAAATATACAGACAAAAAATATGACCAAAAAACTACAAAGCATGAAGGGTATACAAAAAACTATACAAAGGAGAAATAGAATATAAAATGGAATTTATAGTATGATAAAAAACACGCTAAATTAAAAAGAAAGCAAGAAAGAAAGAACAGATAGGAGAAACACATTAAAATGTTAGAGAGCTATTTTTATGTGGTGGGAAATATGGACCAGTTTCCTCCTTCCATCTACTAACATTTCCCAGGAATATGTGTTATCTCTACAACTGGAAGTGGGTGTGGGAGATGAACAAAAGAATCATACAAACCTGTGGCGCTCTAGGAGTGTCCAGTGCTAATTCAGGTAGATCTTTCAACAGTTTATCAAATGATTTTTCTACATCGTTTGTGCTCATTACTGTCCCACAAAGGTCAGAAAGAAGCTTAGATGTCATTTCTCTATGACTAGCCTTCCCCTCTAATGCCAAGGACACTGCCAACACTGGTACTCCACTTTTCATTTCACCAAGATTTAAATCTCTTAGCATTTCCTATTAAAAAAAATAATAATAATGTTTAATAAAAATTTTATTCTAAAAAATCAAACTTTTATCCAAATAACCTTACCCCCTTTGGAAATAAAGCAGCAGTCATATTTTGCAGGATGCAACAAATATATCTTTCCTTGCATACAAGTTAAATACTGATCTACTTTGTCAAGCTCTAACTGCTGAACATCACTCAACTCAGAAATGTGAAATTATACCTAGAACAGTTTATTATTAAACTACATAATATTGCTAGTTTGCTATTAGGAGTTACAACTAACCCTCTGCCTTACATATTATTTCTAGGAATATTGTTTTATAAGCATTTGTGAAGAGATTTATTCTCCATTATCATAAGCTGTTTTACATGCTATTTTTCTTCAAAGCTTTCTCCTCAAACAAAAAAGAATTATACTTTCATATAAAGTTTAAAATGAGATCTTAAACCATTGTCTTTAAGTGGGATTAATGTTTTAAATGCTAGGATAAAGTTAAAATGGTTTCTACTAAAAATAATATTAGAGGCAGTATAATATAGCAGGTATTATAACAGCCTCTTTATTTCTAATATCTCATTTAATATTCAAAACAACCCTTTGAGAGAGGTACTATTATCATACCAATCATACCCAAGGAGGACACACAGCTGGGTGGCTAAGCTAGAAGCAGATACAGGCAGTGTAATCCTAGAGGCTAAGTTCTAAATCAGTAACTAAGAGTCCTTTCCTCTTCACTCACAGTGTTCTCAGAACCTTTAAATCATGGTATACAACTAAGAAAGTGCCAGAGCGATTTTCACAGTCACCTAACTAATATCCTTGTTAGCAGTCCCTTCCTACTCCATTTCATCTTCCTGGACTACCCTTTAACAACTAACTCAATACCTTTAAAACATGATACTCCTTCCTGGAAAACCATCTTCAACCATCTTATCCCGGCAAGCTCCTAAGTATCCTTCAGATAGCACAGTATCACTTCTTCTATTACTCTTCATTTTATGCTTCCAGAACACCCTACTCATAGCACTACTCAGTTAATAAATACATATTATGCAGTTGGTCCTATGCTAGGTAGGTACAGGGAATTCAGCAGCCCCCGTCTTCACAGGACTTATTTAAACTCCAACTCTGCAACAGAATGTCTCACATTATAATAATAATCTCTTTATACATGCTATTTACTTTACTAGACCGAGCTTCAAAGGGCAGGAATCACATATCACAAATTCCTTCAGATGGTATGCACTGAGCAAATATTTGTTTTATATTCAAATCCTACAAGTCCAAAGATAATCAAACCGCTATATCAAACAAGAAAATCCAGTCTAAATTGTAAGAATCTAAATTATAAGTCTTCTAAAATGTTATAAATTTACTAACTTACCCTAGTAATCTTTACTAGACCAATAGTTTTTTTCACCCTTCAACATTTACTTAAGGAGCCCATGTGGCACAGCGGTTAAGCGCTTGGCTGATAACTGAAAGGTCAGCAGTTCGAACCCACCAGAGAAAGATGTGGCAGTCTCCTGTAAAGATTACAGCCTTGGAAACTCTATGGGGCAGTTCTACTCTGTCCTATAAGGTCACTATGAGTTGGGATTGACTCGATGGCAATGGGTTTAGATTTACTTAATACTCGATGGCACACAAGAACATAGATTTACTTTATGAACAATTTATAATTAACACAGTAGATGTTCCCATGCAAATTATGCTTCAAAAATACCTAAAAATGTATTCTCTTGATTTTTAATACATTTTTATCAAATCATTATGCTTGTGTTCTTAAGAAAAAAAAGAATACAAAGGTAAATTTTATCCTGGAATCCTGAGCACTGAAATGTCAACAAAATGGAACTAAAATCAGTTATTTTTAACTGAGGTCCCTTAAGAGGTTTCAGAAGGTCCATGCTGTTGCTGTTAGCTGCCACTGAGTCACCCCCAACTCATGGCAACCCCAGTGCACAAAGGGATTGCATCATTGTAATCATAGGGTTTTCAATGGCTGATTTTTTGGAAGTAGATCACCAGGCCTTTCTTCCTAGTCTTAGTCTTGAAGCACCACTGAAACAACACACAAGCTTCCAATGACAGATAGTAGCTGCACTGAGATGCGCTGGCTGGTAATCAAATCTGGGTCTTCCACATGGAAAGCAAGAATTCTATCCCTGGACCACCACTGTCCCCTCAGAAGGTCCATAAATGCCCTGAAATTATGTTAAAAAGTTTCATGCTGACTTTGCGGGGGGGGGGGTGAGTTTATGTTAATAGGAGAGGAACAACTCAGAAAAGGAAGGTAAGAATGGTTAATGGTTGCACAACCAGAAGAATGTAATGTCACTGAATTATACATGTAAAACTGTTAAAAAAAAAAAAAAAGGGTATCATGCTGTGCATTTTTCAGGGGAAAAGATGGCACATAGTTCTCATCAGATCTCAAAAGGGGTTGTGATTCCAAAAATGTAAGAACTGGTTTAAGTTAACAAGGTTTTACAGAAATTCATTTATATACAAGAAAATGCTTAAATTTAATCAGTGAACCAAGCTCATTCTAGACACTGAATGTTTTACTTATAACAGTTTGTGTTTTCTCTCATATATTAAACGAATTATGCTTGTGACCCTACCGCAACTTCATTAGTATCTCCATGCTCAAAATATTCCTGTATGATTGGTGTTAAAGTCTTCTCAAATGCCCTTTCATCCAAAGGTAGAACTACAGTTTCATAAACACAGTTCTCCTGAGAAGGGAAGGGGGAGAAAAAGTTATAAATTAGAGAACGCAATATTCAGATAAACTGAAATTGTCTCATAATTTTAACTGGTTAGTAATCCCCATTCAGGGCAAGATAAAGACATGCTACGTGCTTTGATCACCTTTTTTTTTAAGTACACCTACTCCTCACTTACAAACTATCTTGTCATCCAACGTTTCCCATTTACGACAACAGTGAAAAATCTACTATCCAGCTATTTTGTGCATTAATGACATACATCTGGCAGTAACAAACGCTGAGGTGCAAGGCGAGAGTAACATTGGCTGCAGTGGCATCACTAGGGCTGATGTCACTCAGTGCAGTAACTCATGGTGTCACCCTCTCCCGCCATGGACCTCCTTCTGTACCAGCCCCAGCCTGCAGGGAAAGAGCCCTGGGCTACCGGGACTCACTTCCTGGTGGTGGGCACAGATGCCCAGCTCCTGATGGCTCACGCTGGCATGAAGCAGCAGCAGGGGTGAGCCAGGAGGGCTGGCAGCCTATCTGGGAATGGGGTGGTCGCACAGCAACAGCCCCCAGCCACAGGCTTGCTTCCGTAAAGATTTATAGCCTTGGAAACCGTATGGGGCAGTTCTTCTCTGCCCTATAGGGTTGCTATGAGTCTGAATCGACTCAACAGCAATGGATTTTTCGTTTTTTAATTAGTCCTTTAGACTGCTTTCATCTCTGAATCTCTGGTTTCCTTCTTTCTCTTTTGTTCTGGACAAGTAGAAGACCAATAGTTGTATCTTAGATGGCTGCTCACAAGCTTTTAAGAACCCAGACATTACTTAGACTTTGGGATGTAGAACGTGCTTAATGAACTATATTATGCCAATTAATGAATTATCCCATGGAACTATGGTCCTAAGCCTTCAAACCCAAAAAACCAATTTCACAAGGTATTTGGCTGATCACTTATATAAAAGTAGAATCCATTTATCACTGTTCTTTTACAAAATCTGAGTACAATAAATCAATATGCAACATTACACCACAAACCATAGCAAATACATGACCTGTACCAATTCTCCATACCTTCTGTTAATTTTTTATATAACCACAAAACTTCTCCTTTGTAGCTAAAAGGCTTTATGATGGCTTCCTATCATATCATTTTCATTAAAAGTTCACTTTTTAAAAAATGAAGCAAGAACCAAAAGCTTCATGATTAGTTAATTTGTATCATAATAAAAGTCCCTATAATGAAAATCAAAGTTGTAATGTCTGAAAAATCGCTAAAGAGAAACATGGTTCACATGAAATTTCAAAAAGTGTTAAGATTAATGTCTATCACCAAACCATCCCCACTCTCCAGCAAAAAAATTTCTGAAATGTTTATTTGCAATTTGTGACAGGCTTCAGTCTAATAAGACTTGAAAAACTATGTTAAAATTAGAATATTTAGCAAAGTTCTATAATATGTATTTTTTCATATTCGCTTTAAAAGATTTCCATGTCCAGCTAGCTGAAATCAGTAAGCACGTACATGCAAACAATACACAATAAAAACAGCCTAACATATATCCTAATATTTTCCTATCTAAAATTCTCACTAATATGTCTTATCTTATACAAAGACAATATTCTTAAAAACGTCATATGTAATGTCTTGAAATTTGCTTCAAAACCATTCAGAGCATGGTGGGGGTGGGAGAGACACAGGAGGAAGAGTGAATGGTGGGTGGAGGATTAAATAAGATTGGCCATGAGTTAATAATTATTGAAGTTGGTAAAGCTGGGAAATGAGTACAAGTGGGTTCATTATACTATTCTTTCAACTTTTGTATAAGTTAGACATTTTCCATTAAAAAAATAAAAAAGATAAACAACCCAATCAAAAAATGCGTAAACTGAAACAGACATTTCACTAAGGAGGCTATTCAAATAGTCAACAAGTACGTGAAAAAATTCTCAGTCATTAGCCATGAGGGAATGCAAAATAAAACCACAATGAGATACCAACTCTCCCCTATAAGAATGACAGTGATCAAAAACACGAAAAACACTAGGTTGGCAAGGCTATGAAGAAACAGAACCCTCATCCATTGCTGGTGGGAATGTAAAATGGTACCACTGTGGAAAACAGCTTGGCAGCCCCTCAAAAAGTTGAACATAGTTCTACCATATGACCTAGCAATTCCACTCTTAGGTATATACCCAAAGGACCTGAAAGTAGCGACTGGAACAGACCAATGTTCATTGCAGCACTATTCTCAATAGCCAAAAGGTGGAAACAACCTAAGTGTTCAAGAACTGATGAACAGAAAAGCAAAATGTGGTATATACATAGAATGGAATATTATGCAGCCATAAAGAAGAATGTAGTCCTGATGCATGCCTCAACATGGATAAACCTTGAGGACATTATGGTGAGTGAAATAAGTCAGACGCTAAAGGACAAATACTGTACAATATCACTTACATGAAATAAGCAAACATACAGAAACCAAAAGTAATTAGTGGTTACCAGGGCTAGGAGGGAAGGGGAAAAAGGGACTTTTGCTGAGAGTGCACTGAAGACATGTTAATGGTGGTAGAATAATTTGGACAAAAAGCAAAAATGGTTGCACAACTTGAAGAATGTTATCAAGGTCACTGAAGTATACATGTGGAAACTAATTATGTGTGTTGTTGTGTGTATATTAAAATACACACACAAAAGATAGAAATATATATAAATTTGTTAAAAATCTATTAAAAATTTCATTCTAAGATTATCTCTAGGAAAAAAATCCACATTCCAAAAACAAAACTTACCGTGCAGTCACCATCCTAAGCAATAAAAAAAGACGTAACAATTCTGTAACGCTTTTATGATATTCAAAAGAACATACAGTCTTCTCAATTATCTTTTATTTACTATAGGAAGAAACTATATTAACAGAATTTACTGAAAAAATGGTCAACTTGATAATCTTCCTAAATGAATTTTAAACACCTCCTTTTGACTCACCTCAGAAATCATGTGAAAATTATGGCATACATTACTATCAGGTGACTTGGTGTCCTAATCCAAAGTTAACCTAACAATGTGAAAGCACTCCAAGTGTGTACATGATTCAGAAAGTAAAAGACTCTGTTAATAAACGTATGATGAAACGACAAACATGACATCAAAAAAGTCTATAAGCATTTTAAATGAAAAAAGGCAAAACAAAAACAGTGATACCTGGTCATCATCATAGTTAGGATCTTTCACATCCACCTCCTCCACATCATATACCTGTCCAGGTGTACCCCAGACACCTTTGCCTCCTGCACCACCTGAAAAAGTTTAGAATTGAGAAAGGCATGACCACAAATCTAATGTCACATATACCATCCTAGTAGCCTATAAGTCACCAGGTGAAAACATTATAAATACTAATCCCCACCTGAAAAAAATAAATAAATACCTCATCTGTAAGAATGACATACACATGTACATTAGCTGTAAGAACCACACTAGTATAAAATGTGTGATGTCACTGAAAATGCATGCTGTTTTATTTTAAAATTTCAATTGTTTAAAATTACTTATCTGAATTGAAATTCAACTACACATATGATTTTGTATATGAGATAGTTCATAAATTTTAGTTGAAGTTGAAATCTGAAATAATTCTAGATGTTCAGTTAAATAACTGCTAAGAATTTTAATTTCTATGCTAGTTTTTTCCAGCTAAGGATTACACTTTAAATTGCTTTTCATTCAGATCATTGCTTTCTCAATATTGATTAGATTTTATGTATCTTATAACCTATTTCCAAAAGCATCCATTTGAAATAGCTCACAAATTTAATACTAAACAGGCAAATACTTTAAAATAAAAGCAAAAAAAAAAAAAAAACCCCAACAAATAGCTATATTGGGACCTCAAAGGAGCTGATACTGCACTTGATCTCTAAATTTTAATTTTGACATTTCTTGGGACCAAAACAAAAAGAAACATGTTGGGCCAGTAAGATATAGCACGGAAAACTAAACAAGGGAGAAACACAGTGACCACCACCAAATGTTTTAAAGTCAAATACTCATAGACATGAAAGTATAAATTATGCTTTGCAACTAAGTAGTAAGTTACAAATAATTGCTATTTAAGCATTAACAGCATTGATAATTACTCTTCTCTACTTCTATATACAAACTAACTAAGTTGCTTTTCAGCATAAACTTACTGAATTGTTTTTACAGGGCTCAACATATTGTTTGTCTTTTAAAGAACCTTACAGTGTTACCAATATTTTCTTTTTTTTGTGGTGGTGGAGAGGAGGTTATCCTATACCTAGAGCATAATCCTCGCAACCAGAGCAAAACAGAAGTTGACAATTAGGTTTCATTTTGATCCAGCCAATTACTGTAAAGCCATTCAACACAAATAGCAATGTTTTACAAATCACAAAAACATTTTGTAAAAAGCCTAGGCTATAAACGGAAGTTTCCATCATTTGAAAGTTGGTGAAATCTCAAACTGTATTGAAATCCTACTACAGACAAAAGCTCACAGGTCAGATTAAATCAATAATCATTCATTCTTTCAACAAATATTTGAGTGCTTGCCATGTGCTCATCAATGCTCCAGGCAATGGGCAGGCAGCAGTGAAACAGTCCACTCCAGTACACAAAATAAATATAGCTAAAGAGAACTTAGGAACCAGATCTATGAAATCATTAAAATTCTGATCCAGACATTACCAATCAAATTTGTATTTATCATGTATTCTGAACAACGGATAGTTTTAGATTCATTAGATAACAGGTATGTTGAATTTCTCACTCTGCTTCTTTCAAGCAAAGTTAAAGAGTGCCTGCACAATTCACAACTGTGAAAACTATCAGTGTATATCTTGCTGTAAATACGAAAAGTTCTGCTCAAGAAAACTAAATCAACTCAAACAAGCAAAACAGTCTTAGCCTAAAGAAAAACTGGAATGGTTAAACTCCAGTTATTACTATGTAAAATATATATATAATTCATAAACCCTTATATTACCATTGTTTAAATTTCTCTCATTCCTAGGACAAGGAAATTACAGTACAAAGATTCAGATTATTTTTTTCCGTTTGTTTCTCTGGATGTAGTATGTACCAACCTTTCTTTGGTAGTCCCCTTCCTTTCCCAGATCTGGATCGCCTATCTAACAACTTTCCCTTTGGACTGGTTGGCACAGTTACTCCACTTCTGAGGGATTCACTTCCATTATCACTGACAGAGTCGCCTCTGCCAGAGTCCCGGGATGAGTTTTTCCGCAGTCTCCTTTTTGCCTTGGCATTAATTCTAGCTTCGTTAATGGAAGATGCTGAAATCCAATTTCCGTTTATTTCATTCTTTATTTCCTCAGTCTCCACATTTTCTTCATCACCAGAAAAGAAAGAGTCACTTAAATTATCAGGGTCTTAAAGAGAAAAATGAAGAAAAAAAATTCTAAGTACTTTAAGCATCCACTGTTATACCAGTTATACTCATAAGTTATATTACATTGAATCATAGGAAATTACCATTTTTGTAGGTTAGTAACAATCATATACAGGCAATCTCATATGGTTCAATCTAATAAATGACTACTAGTGCAATCACATTTCACATTGTCATGAATTTTGGTTGCATTTTAATAAACAAGCTTCAGTTTCTATTTTGTATTTTCTTGAATTCTGTCACATCTCAATAGTAACCACTCCAAATTATATCACCACAGAACCAGACAATCACATTTTATAGACTGTCTATACAGAGTATTTATACTTGAATTTTACACATGAGGAAACTGAAGGTCAAAGACAATAACTTAGTTCCTCAAAGTAACAAAACTGGTAAGGGTAGAAGTTGGGATTAGTACACTAATCTGTCTGACTTGGACTATTTGCTATAGGAAGAATTTATTGCAAAAAAGGTCTACTTTAGGCCCATTCAAGAACTGAAAAACTGCAATCTGCAATTCCCTTATTTTAAGGCAGTACTGGGCAGAGGCACCAAGAACAGGGTTAGAACTAGGTCTTATTGTAGTCAGAAAAAGAAAGCACACATCTTAGACTGGCACTGCCAAAAAGAAACAGGATAAAAGCCGCATATGTAATTTTAAATTTCCCAATAGCCCCATTAAAAAATAAACAAAACAGGTTAAATTAATTTTAATATATTTTATTGAATCCAATATATCCATATCATCATTTCAACATGCAATCAATCAAAAAATTTACTGAGCTATTTCACCTTTCTTTCATACTAAGTCTCTTGAAATCTGGTATGTATTTTACACATACGTTGTTGTTGTTAGGTGCCACTGAGTCAGTTCAAACTCATAGCAACCATACAGGGCAGAGTATAACTGCCCCATAGGGTTTCCAAGGAGCGGCTGCTGGATTCAAACTGCCGACCATTTTTTTTTTTTTTTGGTTAGCAACCATAGCTCTTAACCACTGTGCCACCAGGGCTCCATTTTACACATCTAGTACACCTCAACTCAGACTAGTGACACTTCAAATGCTCAATAGCTACATGTGGCTAGTGGCTATCGTACTAGAAAATGCAAAAAAGCAGCAATTACGTATATGTGAATGTATTCTTAAAATGTATTATCATTCCCATTTGAAGGAAGGGAGGACATGCTACCCATTTATTACCCTAAAAACCAAGTACTCATATAGCTATTGCATATAGCAGCACAGAAATAACTATTATTGTAACAATTTTTTCAACTATAATTTTCCAGCACACTTTAAATCAGAAGGTTTGTAAATACAAAACAGCAAATAAGTTTCAACTATAAAGTGTCTGTTCGGATCAAAGAAAACTATGTAAGTTGTACCAAACCTAAAAACACCAAACCCATTGCCATGAGTGGATTCTGATGCGTAGCAACCGTACAGGACAGACTAGAACTGCCCCTTAGGGTTCCCAGGGCTGTAAATCTTTACGGAATCAGACAGTCACATATTTCTCATGCAGAACAACCGGTAGGTTTACACAGCCAACCGTCTGCTTAGCAGCCAAGCACTCAACCACTGGACCACCAGGGCTCCTTATAAGTTATACATAACAGTGAATTATAGTCATGAAAGTAATAAAGCTGTAGTATTTAAATGTAAAATATGATAAATATATTTAAGTTACAGAAAATAGAGCACTTTCAATATTAATAAAATTATTTAAAACATGTTGTTAGTTGCCACTGAGTTGACTCTGATTCATGGAGATCCCATGTGTGTCAGAATAGAACTGTGCTCCATAAGGTTTTCAAGGCTGTGACCTTTCAGAAGCAGATCACCAGGCCTGTCTTCCCAGGTGCCTCTGAGTAGGTTTGAACTGCCAATCTTCTGGCTAGTTGTTGAGCACTTAACCATTTGCACCACTAGGGACTCTAACATGACAAGCTCTCACTATTCAGAATACTGCGAAATACTAATTAACTCTTTGGGAAGATTATTCTGAAAGCTATAAACACATTTGTCTTAAATTACTCAGCACTTGCATATCTATCCTACAAAACCATGTTCATTTTTATGACGATGATAACACACTACTAATCACGATAGAAAATTAGGGTAAGTACCCTCAGGTTATTTATAATATATAAATTATTTGGCAAAGATACCAATAATAATTTAAATTGTAAAAATCACTGACTAGTCTGTATGAAAATATCAATAAGTAGGTTCACCATTATTCTCCAGACTGCACTATACTTCACTATAACTAGTGGAGAATAACAATGGATGGAATGTGAAAGGATGGGCAGAAATAATAAAGACATTTAATGCATTTCCATAAAAACAAGAATCACGAACTTGAAAATTTGAAAAATAACGACCTACTTATTCTTATAGCATGAATAAGATGGTTTTCAAAGTAAAGATGATGTTCACGTTATCATAAAATACAGTATGGCCTGAAATGCTCAGTCAAGGTTCAAGATACTATAACTTACCTGTAGGGTTTACATCCAGTACCTGTTCATTTTCTACATCCATCGTTCCTTGATTTCACTTGCACTGATTAAACAAATTACCAAATGGAAGTCTTCCTTTGGAATCTATTTTTTTAAAAAGAAAAAGAAAGTTAACATCTTCTAAGCTGATATAATTAACTTCAATTTACTGACTTACACACTAAAATCACATAACTCCATTTTTAAAAAGAATTCACTTTACTTTCAAAGACAGCATTTGCTGTCAATCTTCTTGATAAGTTTACAGGTCAAAAAGAATCCAGATTTCAGCATGTGTGTCAAAGCATACCTTTAACATGTAAGTAAAAGATATATTTGCTATACATGTTTATTTCACGTTAAAGAAATATACACATACACATTCATCCCAAATCTTTTAGGAACACTAGGCCTCAAAATTAATCTGATATACATATATGGAAACATAAATATGATGTTAAGATATGTTACCATTAGATTGTCAGAACTGCTATGAAATACAAAACAACAGTTTTGTTCATCGAGACTATCGGATGATCTACGACATGTCTAAAGGCAGAGATAGCTGCCATTTTATTACCTAGATCTCTATAATTCCCATTTTAAGACTTTGAGATTGTGAAAAAAGTTAATTGTGCTTTTTCCTCTAGTGAGCATATATTTTATAATCTGAAAAAATCCGTTTCTTGAAGAAAATCTGACCTATGTTAGAAAGGAATAGGCACACTGACATAACTATCTCAATATTTTAGAGCTCAGTTTCAAAAGGCCTTAAGATTATCAGTTCTAGAAGGTTTGGATAAAATCAGTTCCCTTTTCTTTAGAAAATTAACTTAGTCCTTCTTTCAGATGACATTTGATTTGTATCACTATCAAAAATAGTTTTCCTAAAAATATAATACTAGAAAGCATAACGAAATAAGATTTCAGAATCTCTCTGAAACTATTCTTCAAATATTGGTTTAGAATACTGAGGTATTTATCTGTTTAAACCATACATTAAATATAAGTTATTCCAGTTGTTTACAATCATTTCACTACCAGTGTGCTCTTCTAAGATATAAAATGCACAAATTAATGAAAACACCTATTAATTACAGAAAAGCATATGTTTTTCGTATAACCACATACTGTTAGATGTCATTTTAGGATAACAATGCCTCCTGGGACTCAAAAGCAAAAATGATATTTAAATTCCTTTGTACTATTAATGTTAAAAATCTTTTAAGTTTATAGCCCTTTTCTTCAGAAAAGGGTATTATTTTGTAAAATGAAAATAAATAAACCTACTATGTTAATATAAATTTAATATTGGTATAATTCTAGACTACTAAAATGCTATCATATTGCTTCAGAAGTTAAAAAAATGGTGAGAGCATTCTCTAATTCTGTTCAAAATAAATAAATGGACATGTGGTTCTCTATAATCACTTTTCAGGATAATTCCCACCAACTCTGGATTTAGGAAGAAAACCGAACCTTAAAAATAGGTATATAGAGATACATATAGAGATATGAAAAATAGTTTGTAAACCTAAACATTTAGTGTCCTCCATGGCTGAAAATGAGACATCTGTTTCATTTCATTGTAGGAATTACATGGTATAGAAAAAGGATAATGTCATATAATGTGTGTATGAGTTTTTTAAACTAGAGTTACATTAAAAAGCTTTGAGAAAATATTTTCTGCACAGCCTAGCTAATAAAGGAAATGAAATGAGGTAATAAAGGAAAGGAAATTTTACAACTGATATTTATAGAGCCCTTTATAATTCAAAAAGAATTTTACATGCATTATTTCATATAATTCTTAGAACAATCTTGAGGCAGGTACTCCCGCTTTGAAGACAACTAAACAGATTCAAAGAGGGTAGGTGATTGTCCAAGAAGAGACAGCCGCTCAGTAGAAGAACCAGGACTAGAACCCAGATCTTCTAATTACAAGTCCAGGACTGTGTGCACAAGTTCAGTACAAAATTTTAATATCCCAGAAGAAGACTGTCTTTTAGGATTAACAGAGAGAAGCTTATTAAAACAGACTTCTATTGTTGTGTGAAAAATTTAAATACTACTTTCCAAACACTAAAATAATACTTGTTATTTTAAAGACTACAAAAAACATTCAGTTGGACAGAGAAAATTATCAGCAATGGCTATCAGCTATAACTTACCAAGTTTGTTTTTATGAAGTAATCATGACAAAGTCCTGTCTTAGGGCAAGAATAATGCAATCAAGAACTCAGTCACACTTATAGCAACACTATTTTAAAAAGAGCTTAGAAAAGGATAAAGATGTGTTCCAGGTTTTCAATTCTCTTCAAAGTAGTGGTTTTTTTTTTTCAATTTACTGACCAATTCTTAAGATTTTTATCTCCTAATTTAATAAAAGAAAATTTAAAGCAAAAATCTAAACCCTACATCCTTTCTTACTATAAAAATGAGTTTTCAATAAGAATTACCTATAAGTTAGAAAAAACTAAGGCTGAAATTAAACATCGTTTTCTTTTCTCCCGTGTGTTACATACAGAGGTTCCCTAAAAGATAGAGCCTCCTCCACAACACCTCTATTTTCTGAAATACACCTCATAAACTACTCTGACGTTCTGGGTAGCAGTGTCAAGTTTAGGCCATACGTCAACCAGAAAATTACTTGTATTCATTCCCTGACTACAATCACAGCTGATTAGGCAACTTAAAATCAATTAAAAGCAGCCAACCACAATGATGCAAGTGAGCAGTATAGAAAATATCGAAGTGGCATTTATTTTTGCAGCTCTACCGATTATTTTCCTTTCACATTAATACTACAGAAAAGCCAATCAAAATATAATTCAAAGACGCCTGCTGAGATATTAAGGAATTCAATAAACCTATAATGAAACAACATTAAGGGCATAAATACAAATAATTAAATTTAGAACACATCTGCAGTGTTCTCCCTTTTTAAAAAGCATATGGTGGATTCCCCAAAACCCTTACATTAGCAAGAATGACAAAATTCTAAAAATCAGCAGACTAAAACTAAGTAAAATCAGGCGGTAATCGATTTTTGGTTCACGCCACACCACATTTAATCATTTTAATCATTTGTAGGTACTACACAGTTGCTGGCTACGTCGCCAGTTCTCACAAGGGCGCGGAGGAGATGGGCGACGGTGACGTCTGCAGACAGTTTTGAAGCTCCTGCAAAAAACTGTGTGCATTACAGCACCAAATTGACAAATGCAGCAGCCACAGCCTGCGTTTCACAGAAAGGGGGCTCTCTTCCCGTCTTTGTTTCCTGTGATTTTACCTAAACTAAAAGAAAAAACCTTTGCACGAGGAGGGGTGCGACCAAGTTCGCGCAGGGCCGGGTCGGCGGGCACGTGTCGGTCCCCCAGGGTCCCCGGGAGAGTGAGGGCCTCCCCGGGCGGCCAGGCCTTCCTCCCCACAGCCGGCGCAGGCCCAGGGCACCCTCGGCACCCCGCCCCGGCCAGGCCCCGGGGTGCTAGGGCTCCGCAGCGCGGGACAGGACCCGCCGAGCTGCCAGCCGCGTCTTCTCAGGGGTGCCGGGGAGATCTAGGCGCGGGGAGCGCGCACACCTTCCTCAGAGAATTTCAGTCCCGCCGGAAACACCTCCCAACCCCACTCCCCACCAAAAAACCACCACCAAAAACCAAAATGAAAACTTGGCCTTCGAGGGAGTGAGACGGAGCCCTCGCTGGGAGGCGCCCCGCGCGACCCGCTTACCGAGGAGGGGGCGGGCCCGCGCCGCCGCGCTCAGGGCCCGGGGCCCGGAGGAGGGAACTGGGCCAGCTCTCCGCAGCGACAGCCCGGGGCGTTGGGGCAGGCACGGGCGGGCCTGCGGGACTCCGAGGAACGACTGGACCCTCGCCCCGACTGCCGGACCGTACCAGGCTGCGGCCCCCGTGCCCCCTCCCCCTCCCAACGTGCGGCTGCCTACGAGGAAAGACAGGGCCGCTGGAGAAGAGGGCGCAGTCCTCCCGAGGATGCGAGCCGCCCCATGGGTACTGACCCCTCGCGTCGCCGCCGCTCGTTCAGGTCTACCGTCCGCCGGCCCGGACCCACTCCTCAGCTTCAGCCGCCGCCTCGGCGCGTCTCTGGCCCCTCTCGCTCTGTTTGTTTTTGTTTTGTTCTACCCAGTAACACGGGGGCGAGAGGGCTACGTTGATTGGCCAAGACGAAGAGGTCGGCTGGCCAATCGTGGCGGGGGAGCGGGAGCCAGGGAGCGGGAGCTGAGGTGGATACGAGAGGGAAGTGAAACGTGGAAAGCTGGGTAGGGGTGCTGGAGGGCGCATGCGCGTCTGGCTCCCAGGGACTGGAGTTGGCGAGGAGCGGGAAGCCTGGGCGGGGGAAGTTGGGAAGGGCAGCGAGATGGAAACAGGCCAAAGGGTAGTGCCATGGGGTGGGAACTAGGCGTGCAGACTCCGTGCCAAGATCGTTCAGCCAATGCTCTCTGCCCGTTGAGACACTCCCATTTCCCAGATGCGGAAACAGACTCAAAAACTGAAGTCCTTTTGCTAATTACGGCTAGCCAGGCCACTGGAATTCAAATCCACACAGTCTGGGCGCCAAAGCTGGGATTCTGAACCATGGCTACAATTTCTTTATTGAAACTCCTGCCTCCTGCGGCTATTGTCTCCTGCTTTTCCTCCTGGCTGCATTCTCTTTGGCTAGTCTTCTCATTCTAAGTCCCTATGTACTCTCAAGAGAAGACTCAGATCTGTCTCCAGCTACTAGCTCTGGCAGGATTTTCTGATGGATGACACCTGAATGGTTCATTGCCATATCCACAATTGAACTGCCTCATTCCCCCGACTTAACACTTCCTGCGCAGTCATCCTGCTTGCGAATCATCTCTAACGCTAATATTTTCTGCACAAAAATCCTTCACTAGCTTCCCACTGCCTACCTGGAATGTCAGCACCCCAGCCTGGCATTCAGTGCCCCACAGTGTGGCTTCAAGACTTTTTCTGGCTGTGGCTCTCCACACCCCTCCCAGTCCGCACATGCTCTTCACTGGAACTGACTTTGGACCACTCACTGTTCCGTGCGGCTCCCCATCTCCTGGCCTTTCTTTATCATATTCTATCACGTAGAAATGCCTCTCCTCTTATATCCCATCTCTACCTGGTGAAATCCTATCCACACTGTGAGGCTTTCCCACGTACTCTTTCTTGATCCTCATAACTCAATATGATCTTCCTGTCCCAATTCTTCACAGTGTGTAGTTTATTGTACCTCTAGAGGCACTGATTACATTCTGCCTAGCATCATTTTATCTGAATCCCTGTCCTAGCTCTTCTCCCCGTTAAGACTATAACCTCCTTGAGGGCAAGATCTGTGTCTGTTGTTTTAGTGCTTAAAAAGATGCCTTGAAAATTAATTGTACTTGTGCAATAAATACACCTTGATCTGAATTCACAAAGGTTCTCAGCGGTTGATCCTCAGCCCCATCTCCTGGGCAGACGCCTCCCTGCATGGCCAGCATCTGAACTAGCTTCGTGAGTCACCTTCCATTTTAAAATCAAAGCTTACCCTCCACCCAGTGTTTTGTTTTTCAGTGTCTCCAGCTGTCTCGTATTCCTTCTCTGCCAGGACTTCACTATTGTCTCCACTAATCAGTGACTGTTGGCTCCTTTTTCCATCTACCTTTTTCTTTCTACATGTTTTTCTTTCTCTCCTTTTTGGTTCGTGACCCCTCTCCTTTCTCCTTGCCACCAACCTCCTATGACTCCTGCTAGGTTCTTTCATTTACTCATTTAACACAATTACTAAGTACCTATGGCATACCCAAGCTGTGTTAGGCAGGCATCCCAAAATCTATGAAATAAGGAAAGAGTGGGATACAATTAGACATTTAAGAAAGCATCTAAAACAACCTATATTTTTAGCAAATTACCTTGGAAGGATCCATTAGAGGGTAAGATTTCATATCCTTTTTTCCCATGATCTCAAGCACAATCCATGATGCCTGGCATCTCAGGACCCACTTTAGGGTATGCCAGATTGGTTGGGTGTGATTGGCAAGTTCTGGCCACTGAGTCAGGAGATGGAGTTCCAGTCCTAGCTCCCCCAGTAACTACCGGTGAGAACTTCAGTCCTCTCAGGACCTCTCTTTCTTCACCAGTAAAATTCACCAGTGATGAGTCAGTGAAAAAGAGGAAGACCCTCAATGAAATGGATTGACACAGGGGCTACAACAATGGGCTCAAATACAGTAACAGTTGTGAAGATGGCGCAGGACCAGGCAGTGTTTCATTCTATTGTACGTAGGGTCACTATGAGTCGGAACCAACGGGATGACACCTAACAACACAACAACAACAAAAATTCAGAGATTGGGCTGAATCAGCAGTTCTTAAGATTTTTTTTTCCAAAGAACATGAATTTTGTGGAACTTCAATAAATGTCATGCCAAAGTGGGGGGGAGGGATCAATTTCTGTGGTCAAATTGATTTGGAGAGGACTTGTTTCAACAAAGATAAAACTGTTTCTTTACCCCAACTCTTCTCAGTATCTTTAATAAGCTAATGTGCTTTTTGAAACTTGGGTGACAGGGATTGTTTTCACAACTTATTTGGATATGGAACCTTTTTTTGTCAAGAAACCTCAGGATCAGTGCTGCTTAGAAACCAGTTTAGAAAATGATGGACTATAAAGGACAGCCACGATCACCAAGATTCCTTTTAGCTGTATTGGACACTGGCCACCTGTGCCTTTGTAGATAAACATTAAAAAAAAAGATGAAAACAGAAAAGGATCCAAGTGCCAAGAATTTTTGCTCACCAAATCAATCCACAAATATGTATTGTGTGCCTATTTGAAAAGCATGGAGCTGGTCCAGCTGTGTTCTTGGCAAAAGGCACTACAGTATTCTACTTCAGGGTAGGTAATATCTGAAGCCTAGATCTGCCTAGGCTTCCGGGTCACAATGTCCATTTTCATTTCAGTTATAATTGCCCATAAACTGACTTTCTGTTTCCTAAAGCCCTTTGCCTATGGGCTTGTGTTAGTTTAGGTGTTGGATAAGAGAAAAGGAGAGAGCCCTTCCCCCTTAAGTCAATTTACCCAGAATGATGGGGCTGCAACTTCCATTTCCCTTAAGAATGTCTCATTCCAGGGGCTTAGGAGAGGAAGGGACACCACCACATCACCAGAGGTGTAGGGGGTGGGGGTGGAGGGGATGGAGGGAGTGGAGTGGGGCACTTGCCCCTGGCGCAAGTCAAGTGGGCACCAGATGAGGTGCGAAATGACATTCTGAGACACCACAAATATGAAAGGCATCTGATTGAAGCAGCTGGACAAGAGAAGGGAAGGCATTTCTGCTGATGCTCGCTGCTGTAAAGCCTATTTATCTTGAGGTTGGGGTTGGTGCAATCACCCTGGGTGCTCAAATGGGGGTGGGCACGATTTAGAGATTGCCCCTAGGTACTCATTACCCTCACTAAGCCCCTGGCCACCACAGTTGCCCAGAACACTATTCAGCAGTGGAAACAGAAACTGTGCTGTGTGATCAGAGACATTATATACCTCATCTTCTCCCTGCTCCTCAGGCTTCGGCACTATTGAAATGCCTAAAGAGACACAAACAGTATATGGTTCGATAGTATGTATGGGGGAGAAAATGTTTGGTGGGTGTAGTTTCTTTTTTTTTTTTTCTTTTATCTCTTTAGACAAATTATTGACCATGTCCCTAACTAGCTATGTTGGTTTGGGCATTTCACTTCCCTTCTCTGGGCCTCAATTGAATGCCTCAATTTCCTGCACTGTAAAAGAAGGTGTTGACCATACTTCTATGGCCATAGCACCAAGTCCATTAAATGGGGAAAGAATAGTCTCTTCAACAAATGGTGCTGAGACAACTGGATCTCTGCATGCAAAAAAATGAAGTTGGACCCATACCTCACACCATATACGAACACTAACTCAAAATGGATCAATGATCTAAATATAAAAACAAACATAGAACTATCACATGACTCAGAGATTCCACTCCTAGGTATATACCCAAGAGACTTGAAAGTGGAGACTCAAACAGATTCTTTTACACCAGTGTTTATTGTTCATTCACAATAGCCAAGAGGTGGAAACAATGCAAGTGTCCACCAACAGAAGAATGAGTAAACAAAATGTGGCATACAGTGGAATATTATTCAGCCATATAAAGACAGAAGTTCTAATACAGCCTACGACATGGGTGAACCTTGAAAACATTATGCTAAGTAAAATAAATCAGACACAAAAGGGCAAAAATTGTATGATTCCGCTTATATGAAACATCTGGAATAGGCAAATGCATAGAGACCAAAGTTTATTAGTGGTTACCAGGGGTTGGGAGGAGGGGGGAAATGAGGAGTTATTGCTGAAGGGGTACTGAGTTTCTGTCTGGGGTGATGTAAAACTTTTGGAAATGGATAGTGGCAGCACAACATAGTGAATGTCACTGAATTGTACACTTAAAAATGATTAAAATGGCAAACTTTTTAGTATATATACCTTACCACAATAAATTTTTTAAAAGGGAGGGGTGGCCTCTGCAAGGGGTCTCTAGGGAGGCATTCTAGTTCTGACACTCTGTGATGCTGGGTGAGATGGCACCACTGGACAAAAGGACTGTGGCTCTCAACCCAGGGGCTTTCTCTGACTCAAAAGCTCAGATATAATCACCTGCCTTCATCACAAAGGCAAGAGTGATGGCTGCTATAGGGTTGGGAGTGCTAATGAGTTAATGTGGGTAAATTACTTGGAAAAGCATAGATGAAAGGTAAAAGATAAGCACCTGCAATGTCTATTATTGCCCTTGAAATTCTCCAAAGCCTTTTCATTCTTTGGGAAAAGCCCCATTTGAGAAGAGTTTCTTAGTAAGCACTGTTCACA